ACAGTGAGGTGGCTGGCAATGTTTTGTGAGTGTGTAAACTCTGTGCAAAGGCTGAAAATTACTCACAGTTAGCTGTACTGGATCTCTCTCCTCACAGACGATGGCAGTGAACAGGATCCACTGGTGTGGCAGAGATCAGGGACACTTTATGAACAGGCACACTGTAAGGTGATCAGGGACACTGATTGGGCCACTGTATGGTGATCAGGGACACTGCTGGGCCACTGCGGTGATCAGGGCCACTGCTGGGCCACTTGTGTGGCGATCAGGGACACTGTGGCAATCAGGGACACTGTGGCGATCAGGGACACTGCTGGACCACTTGTGCGGCGACCATGGACACTGGTGGGCCACCGCGATGATCAGGACACTGCTGGGCCACTTGTGTGGCGATCAGAAACACTGCTGGGCAACTGCGGTGATCAGGGACACTGCAGTGATCAGGGGCACTGCTGGACCACTTGTCCGGCGATCAGGGACACTGCTGGCCACTTGTGTGGTGATCAGGGACACTGCTGCTGGGCCACTTGTGTGGTGATCAGGGACACTGCTGGGCCACTTGTGTGGTGATCTGGGCCACTGCGGCAATCAGGGACACTGCGGTGATCAGGGACACTGCTGGACCACTTGTGCAGCAATTGGGGACACTGCGGTGATCAGGGACACTGCTGGGACACTGCGGCGATCAGGGACACTGCTGGACCACTTCTGCGGCGATCAGGGACACTGCTGGGCCACTGCGATGATCAGGACACTGCTGGGCCACTTGTGTGGCAATCAGAAACACTGCTGGACTACTGCGGTGATCAGGGACACTTCGGTGATCAGGGGCACTGCTGGACCACTTATCCGGCGATCAGGGACACTGCTGGGCCAGTTGTGTGGGGATCAGGGACACTGCTGGGCCAATTGTGTGGTGATCAGGAACACTGCTGGGCCAATGCGGTGATCAGGGACACTGCTGGGCCACTTGTGTGGTGATCAGGAACACTGCTGGGCCAATGCAGTGATCAGGGACACTGCTGGGCCACTGCGGCAATCAGGGCCACTGCGGCGATCAGGGACACTGCTGGACCACTTGTGCGGCAATCAGGGACACTGCGGTGATCAGGGACACTGCTGGGCCACTGTGGTGATCAGGGACACTGCTGGACCACTTGTGCGGCAATCGGGGACAATGCTGGGTTACTTGTGCGGCGATCAGGGACACTGCTGGGCCACTTGTGTGGCGATCAGGGACACTGCTGGGCCACTGCGGCAATCAGGGACACTGCGGCAATCAGGGACACTGCTGGACCACTTGTGCGGCAATCAGGGACACTGTGGCAATCAGGAACACTGCTGGACCACTTGTGCGGCAATCAGGGACACTGCGGTGATCAGGGACACTGCTGGGCCACTGCGGCGATCAGGGACACTGCTGGACCACTTGTGCGGCAATCAGGGACACTGCGATGATCAGGGACACTGCTGGGCCACTGCGGCAATCAGGGACACTTCTGGGCCACTTGTGTGGCAATCAGGGACACTGCTTGGCCACTGCGGCGATACTGCTGGGCCACTTGTGTGACGATCAGGGACACTGCTTGGCCACTGCGGCGATCAGGGATACTGTGACGATCAGGGACACTGTGGCGATCAGGAACACTGCTGGGCCACTATGTGGTGATCAGGGACACTGACAATCAGGGACACTGCTGGGCCACTTGTTGGGCGATCAGGGCCACTTGTGGGTAATCAGGGCCACTTGTGGGCGATCAGGACCACTTGTGGGAGATCAGGGCCACTTGGGGCAATCAGGGCCACTTGGGGCAATCAGGGCCACTTGTGGGGGCAATCAGGGACACTATGTGGGGGCGATCAGGGACACTTGTTGGCGATCAGGACCACTTGTGGGCGATCAGGGCCACTTGGGGCGATCAGGGCCACTTGGGGAAATCAGGGCCACTTGGGGCAATCAGGGCCACTTGGGGGGCAATCAGGGACACTTGTGGGGGCAATCAGGGACACTTGTGGGGGCAATCAGGGCACTTATTGGGGTGATCAGGGACACGTGGGGCAATCAGGGCCACTTTAGGGGCGATCAGGGCCACTTTAGGGGCGATCAGGGACACTTTAGGGGCGATCAGGTGTCACTGAGGTGGAGGGCAGTTAGCTACAACCCTCTTCTTCGCTGTTTCTCCTCTCACAGACAACTCCGTGAGAGGAGAAGGAGGCGGAAGCCGCACCATGCGGCTTTTGTTTACACTTAAGCTGTGTCCTTATTGGACACAGCTGATCACATGGTATGGGACCGATTTCATTGGTCCCATACCATGTCACGTAATCCACCGTGTCCGTCGGACTCGGCGATAATCGGGCTCGCGGGTGCGCGCTCTAGGAGCCACGCACGAGCCTCACATACAAGGTGCCGTTTAGAGACGACAACCCGCTCCTGTAGGTGTCCCGTCCTGCCGTTTATAAACAGCGGCCGGACGGGAAGTGGTTAACATCACCATGCACCCCCTTTGGGGGCAGAGCTGGAAAGCAGAAAGTGTAGGGTCTGGAGGAGGACCAGAGGAGGAGTGGAGTCAGTTACTAGAGTCTGCTGAATGCTGAGACCAGGGGAGGCAGAGATGAGGGGGTGCTGCAGCTGCACTGAGAAGTCCAGGATTTGGCAGAGAAGTTCTATTCTTCTCTCTCTACTGCTGAGACAAAGTGGGGGCTGAGAAAAGGGGATACCTGCAGGAGAGGTGCAAGGGCCACATGAAATTGCCTGGAGGGCCAGATTTTTAGCCCATGGGCCTTGTGTTTGACACCTGTACCGTAGGGCATCTTGTTGGGGAGGGATTCCACACACCAAAGGTTTAAAGTGGGATTAAAGAGTCACACCCAGAATGAGTTTGAAAGATGTTTAATACTACTTGGGTACAGTAGTTAACACGTTTCGGGGAAGATATCACTCCCTCCATCAGGACATGGATTCGAGACAAAAATGATATGTTGAATCGTGGATATACACTACAACACAGTAAAGGTCAACCTCTGGTTTAAAAAGATATATATTTATCGCACTCAGCCAATCCTTAATTTTGTTGTTTAGAGGCTTGGACTGAGAAGATAAGAAATGTCTGTAAAAACCTCTCTAGGACTCTCTCTCCCCTGGGACCTCTGGGACCTTTCCTGGGTGGAGGTCTGTGTGAAGAACTGCTGTCTGGTCCTGGACTCACCATGAGCCATGTTCTAAGGACCCTGGATACCAAGCAAGTCGCTAAAGTGGAAGTCTAAAGAGAACTGGGCTGAATGGAGATACCCGTGCATAAAGAAGGTCACAGAGAAACTGAGTAGAAGCTGCCTTCTGGACCTTGGAAGAGCACTCTTTGTTCATGGGTTCAGTTGTTTGTATCTGCTTACAGAAGAACATAAGTCAGGTTCAAGAGAAATGAACCACTGTGACTGTTCTTAAAAAGTCCAAGATTTATCTTGCAGTCCTCTGTCCATCAACATCTACTTTAGAGGCTACTTTCATAGGACCTACTGCAGCTTCAGTTCATGTGTCCTCATATTTTCTTTTCAATATGTTTTATATGTTTCAATATGTTTATCATAGAGAGAGGTACAAATACAGTGTACAAATAGATGCCCAAAAGCTGAGCCACCAGCATGTCCATAAAATATTGGTCATAACAAAAGTAATACAAACAGCAAGGTATTATTATTAACATTTGGTCAGTAGACCGAAACAATGAGAAAAGTGGTGGCCACAGGGCCAAAATGGCAGATTAACCTTGGTGACTAACACAGCATCAATCCATTTTTGAAGAACTGGCTTCCAGGAAGAAGAGAGAAAAGAAGGAGAAAGAGGGGAAAAAAAAAGGGGGCGGGGGAAGGGTTGGGAGAAGGAAACAGGGGGGGGGGGGAGTACGGAGGGGGAAAAAGTGAATGGGGTTTGATGCAAGGGGTATCTGGTCCACTAGAAGGCCTCTTATGTGGCTGCCAGGCTTGACAAAGGAAATCATTGGGTTTTGGTATGCGTGCCGTGGAGTGTTGGTAAGATTACTAGTCTGTTGTTCGTTAATAAAAATGTGATCTAGGCGAGATTCAGCTTCTGAGAAATGGTTAAATTGCTTCTTCTACACTTCAGCGATTGTGAGCTTAGAGGTTAGCAAGACAAAAGGGCCCTGTTTAAATTGGCACTTCAGTAATGTTTGGGGGTTTGAAGTTCAAGAGGGCCGGCCAGGGGTCCTTAATGAGCAGTGTTCCTAGTGGTGTACGCAACAGAGAGAAGACCCTGGACCAAAAACGCCCCAACATAAGACAGATCCACCAAATATGAAGAAGGTCACCAGCGGTCTGGCATCCTTGAAAGCATAGGCCTGGATGGCCAGGGAAAATATGGGACAGTCTGGAAGGGACCATGTACTATCAGGTCATCACTTAAGAGGCAGATTTGAACGTGGTGATATTAAAGGTGTAGGAGATCTGTCCTCCTTTTGTATTCTATGCCCCTACACCATGGGTGTCAAACTGGCAGCCTTCTAGCTGTTGCGAAACTGCAAGTCCCATCATGCCTTTCTCAGCCATGCTTGTAACTGTCAATTTTGCAATGCCTCATGGGACTTGTAGTTTGGCAACAGCTGGAGGGCTGCCAGTTTGATACCCATGCCCTAGACCCTCTCTCCAGTTTGATAAAAGACCATAGTGACCAGAGCTTGTTTATTGTTTGAGGTTTGTCGGTCAGCTCTTAGAACCAGATACGAGGCAGATAGCTGGTAGGGGAACCCAATTATTTCCAGTGGCTCCCTAGGGAGAAAATAAAAGCGTTTGGCAGCTGCAATGACTGCTGAATATTCAGATTCTCGCATAACTCCCTATCATGACTGGTTCTCTTTATACTTGCCAATCCTGATGTGGCTTACCTGTATCCACTAGCGGTGTCCACACATGTGCCACCATGCAGACAGGGGTTCCACGGTAAAGATGAACATGAAGGCCGAGCCCGTCCAGATGGTGGACATCTGCACGCTGTGGCCAGGTCGTGAATGACGGACACAAAGGATGCGTTGCCCCCCATCTACCAAATTCAGGAAGTCTCTGACAGCGCTGTGGTCATGGCACCCTGCATTTCTCAAGCAGACAGTTCGTAGGCAGAAGTCTCTGTCCCCCGGGAATACTTCTGTCTGAACAGCTGCCTGGATCTGATGAGAACAAAAGCAAAAAAAAAAAAAAAACACAACGTGGTTAGCGTTCGCAGAGGATAGCCGAGAGCAATTGCACCCGTCAAAGTGAAGGCATGGATTTTATGTCAGCGGACAAATGGTATTGCCGTGTACGGCTGTATCCTCCGATACATAATTCATGCTACAAGCAGGGCTTTCACATTTATCGAGCCTTTCGCATCTGCCCTGACCGATTCTATCATAATGTCTCGTGTCTGATTTTATCTCTCAGCTTTACATCTAGGGAAAGTGGGTCCATCAGCAAGCATTAGCTCTCCCGGAGTCACCAGCGCATTAAATAGGCTTTGCGTACTCCAAAATTTACTTTAAAGGCAGCCTGAGCAAAGGAGATATGATGGCTGCCACAGCTGACCTCTCCAATGAAGACACTGCCCCCCCCCCCCCCCGGGTTTTCATGCTGATCTGGTGGCCTCAGTACTTTCATGGTCGATGACGGAAGTCATGACTTCACTCTTATCTACACTATATGGCCTACAGCAGGGGTGTCCAAACTATGGCCCTTCAGCTGTTGAAGTACTACAAGTCCCATCATGCCTCTGCCTCTGGGTGTCTTGCCTGTGGATGTCAGAATCTTGCAAGGCCTCATGGGACTTGCAGTTCCTCAACACCTGGAGGGCCATAGTTTGGACACCCCTGGCCTACAGTGAACATTTAACCATTACGCCTATATCAGCTCTCTGGACATCCCATTGACAACACTCATTCAATGTACTGTATCTATGGAAGAGTCTCCCTAGAACTGAAAGTTTGTTAGGACTACAGCCCACCTCCCCCTCTCCCCATCATAACACAGGAGGGAGTGTGTTGCAGGTCTGAGCCAGTCGTCCTTGCGCCACTACTTCAAGTGATTGTAAACCCTTACATATACTCAAATAAATTACTGGCCTCACGTGATACACAGCGATTAAACAAGTCCCCCTACACAGGTTGTACCTGTTTTATATGCAGCCCTCTCTTCTCTACAGCCTTCTAAAGCACACATTTTACACATCGTTTCTGAGCCTCAGGAGGCGGGGTGGGGATCTGATGTCACTGCACAGCATAGAGCAGAGAGCTGCGTGTAATCTGAGACCTGAGTGGAAGGAATGGACACCCCCCCACCCTACACAGTATCATACAGATACATGCTGAGGCTATCAATCACCTGCTGTGTGTATACCCCATACACCAGGGGTGGGCAACTGTGGCCCTCCAGCTGTTGGTGAACTACAAGTCCCATCATGCCTCTGCCTTTGGGAGTCATGCTTGTAACAGTCAGTTTTGCAATGCCTCATGGGACTTGTAGTTCTACAACAGCTGGAGGGCCACTGTTGCCCACCCCTGCCATACACAATAGATTGTAATGCCTATTTTTCCTGATTTCAACACATCAGCTTCAGGGACAACATGTTCACATTGCTGCCTAATTTAGTCCACTGACTTTCAAATGCCATTGTAACAAGATAATCAATGGTGTTGACTCAAACTGTCAGTGGTCATAGAGGAATGGCTGATCCGTGTATACTTGAAGGAATATTTTATATTCAAAAGTTTTCAGACATGTAGTTCAACCTACCAACAATGGGGCACTATTCCTCCCACTGACACCATTGGTGGAGCACTATTCCATTCACTGACACCAATGGTGGAGCACTATTCCTCCCCACTGATACCAATGATGGGGCACTATTCCTCCCAATAATACCAATGATGGGGCACTATTCTTCCCACTGATACCAATGATGGGGCACTATTCCTCACACTGATACCAATGGTGGAGCACTATTCCTCTCACTGACACCAATGATGGGGCACTATTCCTCCCACTGACACCAATGATGGGGCACTATTCCTCCCACTGACACCAATGATGGGGCACTATTCCTCCCACTGACACCAATGATGGGGCACTATTCCTCCCACTGATACCAATGATGGGGCACTATTCCTCCCACTGACACCAATGATGGGGCACTATTCCTTCCACTGACACCAATGATGGGGCACTATTCTTCCCACTGATACCAATGATGGGGCACTATTCCTCCCACTGATACCAATGACGGGGCACTATTCCTCCCACTGATACCAATGATGGGGCACTATTCCTCCCACTGATACCAATGATGGGGCACTATTCCTCCCACTGATACCAATGATGGGGCACTATTCCTCCCACTGACACCAATGATGGGGCACTATTCCTCCCACTGACACCAATGGTGGAGCACCATTCCTTTCATTAATACCAACAATGGGGTACTATTCCTCCCACTGACACCAATGACGTGGCACCATGCCTCCTATTATAACCAATGATGGGACATTATTTACTCCCACTGATACCGGAGCATTTTATACTCCTACTGGCCGCAATACGCCCCCCCCCCCCCCCCAAAGTCTGAAGGACAGTAAACTGGCCCTTTGTTTAGAAAGTTTGGAGACCCCTGCTCTAAAATAACAAACATGTTATAGTTACCTGCTCATTGCAATGGTTTTGCACAGGGGGTCCCAAGCCTCCTCCTCTGGGGTCCCCCACCTGCACTCTTGGCTCTTTCTCTTCTCTGTGTGCCCCCATAGCAAGCCGCTTGCTATGGGGCACATGTGCAGTCTTGATCCCAAGCCGGCCTGTATGTATCTATAGACACACACAGTGCGGCTCCACCCTGCCCTCCGCTCCCTCGTCACATGATTTGATAATGGCTCCCGCTGCTCGTGAGAGAAGGGAGAGAAGACCTGAAGCTGGGCACAGTGCTAGATCGATACAGGACTCAGGTCAGTGTTTAGAAGGGGGGCACAGCTATGGGGGGTTTTTTACCCTAATGCACAAAATGCATTAAGGTACAAAAATGTTTTCAGCTTTAACAAGCACTTTAAATGAGGAAAAAAAATTGTTATGGCCATATGGGAGGCTCAGTTTTTTTTTTCTTTTGTGGTTAACAAATGGAATTTCAATTTAAAACGGTTGTCCGCCTTCAGTTGACTTTGATCCGTTGGCTCCTACATACCCTTGTGCAACGAAAATGCATAAAACATAACTATTAATAATTGATAAAACATAACTCTTATAATATACTATTGAAAGCATGTTATTACTATACAATAAAAGATATATTTGATTAAAGCTGGGCTCCAGGTAGATACAATCAGGGGCGGACTGACCATTTGGAAAGTCGGGCACTGCCCGAGGGCCCGGGGTCAGTAGGGGGCCCCATGAGATGCCCCTGGTACCTTTTTCATAGGCTTTTTTGAGTTTGGGCAAGGACACAGGGGCCCCATGATCTCCTATTGCCCGAGGGCCCCATGAGTTGTCAGTCCGCCCCTGGATACAATGGAACCCCAAATTAATGCAGTAATATAAACACGAATGTCAGGTATTTCTGAGAAGATGAGACAAATATTTCCAAAGGCAGCTAGCGCAGAAAGTTTGGATACCCTTTATTGGCTACGTTTTTAAAGATGCAAGCTTTTGGGATGCCTTGGACACACCTAAAACAGACCTTCACACTCTTCAATGACTTTCCATCATTGTTTCCATAATTCAAAATTACTTGTGAAACATTTAATATTTCTCTTCTATCTATCCATTCAGTCATATCCAACCCTTGGCGATTGCATGGGCAGTAAGCAACTTTTTCCATGAATTCTCTTAGCAATTATTTTGCAGGGTAGGTTGCCAGTTCTTTCCCCAACCCCCACCATGCAGGAGATCCCGCATGGCCAGGGATGAAACTAGGACAACTTTAGACAGAAGCCAATTAACCTACCAGCATGTCTTTGGAGTGTGGGAGGAAACTGGAGTACCCAGAGGAAACCCACAAAAACATGCAAACTCCATGCAGGAGGTGCCATGGTTGGGAATTGAACCCATGACCCAATTACTGCAAGGCAGAAGTGCTAACCACTAAGCCACTGTGCCGCCCCAATAGTTCTCTTAGTATCATACAAAAGAAAAAAAAAACATTAAAAGAGAAAAGGGATGGACAACAGAGAAAAAAGTAAGATGAGAGTGTGAAAGTATTGCCTGCAGTATATAAAGTCCTGCTTCCACTACCAGATGCATGGGTGTATCTCTGGGTCTCTCTCCTCTGTCTCCCTGGGCAATACCATATACACGAAGGCAATTCCAGCATGGATGTTAACTGAATGAAAGGAACAGAGATTGGGTCATGGTTTCATGTTCAACCTCTACTTAAAGTCTATATCAGTGGTCTCCAAACTGTGGCTGGGCAGGAAATATGGCCCTATGCTTGCTTTTATCTGGCCCTTGGGGCACTATTTTATCCACAAATACCAACAATGGGGTATAATTCCTCCCCTGACATCAATGATAGGGCAGAATTCCTCCCAATTACACAAATGATGGGGCACAATTCCTCCAAATGGCACCAATGATGGTGCCCCATTCCTCCCAATGGCACCAATGATGGGGCACAATTCCTGCCAATGACACCAATGATGGGGCACAATTCCTCCCAATGGCACCAATGATGGGGCACAATTCCTCCAAATGGCACCAATGATGGGGCACAATTCCTCTCAATGGTACCAATGATGGTGCACAATTCCTCCCAATGACACCAACGGATGGGCACAATTCTTCCCACTGCAAGTGTACAATCCAAACGCACACTTTCCTGTGTTAAAAATGGCGGTGTGTATAAGTGGGTGCTGCAGCGACCGTTGGCTGGAACCGAACAGGATCAGCAAGGGAAAATGTCACCAGCACACCGAGTGTACTCGGTGTGCTGCTGACATTTTCCCTTAGAATTCTTCCCACTGACACCAAAGATGGGGCAGTGTTTTTTTTTCCACTGATGGGATCTTTTCTGCTCCCACTGGCAACAGTCTGGCCCCCCCAGTCTGAAGGACAGTAAACTGGCCCTTTGTTTAGAAAGTTTGGAGACCCCTAGTCTACATGGTAGGAAACAATAGAGAATAGGTGGCATCCAATGGACAGCACCATAATTCTTCAAGTCAATGTCCAATGTCCTAAGGTCTTCCCTTTATAACGGCTCATATGAGCCAGTACACACTACATCAATCATTCAAAGCCACAAGAGACCCACCTTCTCCTTGTGTTTAATGAACACATTTCGCAACTTGTCCGCTTTGTGGTAGGAAGAAGAGTCTCGAACAGCCACCCTGAGCTCCGTCACTCTCCCCTGACTGTACAGGCCGAAGAACTGGACATTATCCAGATGAGATGGTACTACCTCTGCCAGAACCCTCCGCAGGTGGTCCTCCTTACTCACTCCATGCTCATCCTTTGTGATAAACTCCTCTGCGGTAATATCTAAGATAGAAAAACAAACAGAATTAAAACTGAGTGCAATTTCTATCATGAGAAGATGGGTTGGAAGGGTCCCAAAAGCATCTAAGTAGGTTAAATCCGTCATTTTTGGGGGACAGTCTTTCTGTTTCTAAAAGATGAGCTGCAATCAGTACTGATTGTAAAACATAAAAGGATAATAACGGGAATGGGAGAAGGCTCATAATTGAAAAGAATGTAGGCAAAGCGCAATGGCTTAGACAGCAGACATTAATGGAGAAGTTTCCATGGTAGAGCCAGACAAGCTCCATGTCTACCAAACTGTGACAATATACACTCACCGGCCACTTTATTAGGTCCACTTGTTCAATTGCTTGGTAACACAAATTGCTAATCAGCCAATCACAGGGCAGCAACTCAATGCATTTGGGCATCTAGATGTGGTGAAGACGACTTTCTGAAGTTCAAACCAAGCATCAGAGTGGAGAAGAAAGGGGATTGAAGTGACTTTGAACATGGCATGGTTGTTGGTGCCAGACGGGCTGGTCTGAGTATTTAAAAAACTGCTGGTCTACTGGGATTTTCCCGCACAACCATCTCTAGGGTTTACAGAGAATGGTCCGAAAAAGAGAAAATATATCCAGTGAGCGGCCGTTGTGTGGAGGAAAATAAACACAAAAAATATATAAACGAGCGCTAGGTAAAAGTTTTTGAGCAGCTAGCATAAAGGCAAACCTCTGAATCCTTCTCATAAATCTAAATGTAAAATATGCAGCGCTATATGAATAAAAGAAAACGTAAGTCCACTTGAAATGATAAATTCGGCAATGAAGAATGCTACAGAGCGCCAAAAAACAATACAGTGATTAACGTCGAAACATGACGTATGCAGTGCACAAAGTGATGTAAAGATATATTCAATGCGAGTTCAATGATATATGTATATTGCACTAACCAGAAAGCGCAATGTCATGCGCATTTGAGTAATTCAGACCAACTCCTGGTCATCTGACTCTGGAAAAGAGGGGGACTCTGGGGGTCATCTGGCAAACCTCAATACCTGGCAGGACAGGTATACATCTCTAGGCTCCAGGAATATAGCATCCATCCTGCAGGGGGAACCACTCATGGAGGTACATATAGGGTGGCATTCTGGGACTTCTCCAGAAGAGACTTCTCCCGGCATGCCACCCTCATGGAGACACACTACTATAACTATGCACTTTTCCTCTCTGGCTCATTCATTATGAGCGCCCCCTAAGGTGAATTCCTGGTATTCTATATGTACCTCCATGAGTGATTCCCCCTGCTGGATGGATGCTATATTCCTAGAGCCTAGAGATATATAGCAGTTCCCCAATGGTCAGTCCGCCCCTGGGTGCCCCCATAATTTAAGTGTCGCATATATTGGAGGAAACTATAAAACATCTCGGACTTCCCATCACGTTGGGTGCCAGTGGTAATGGTCAATAAAACAAACAAGGAGGAAACACGGGCAATAAAAACCTGAGTTTTTATCCCCCCCCCCCCCCCCCCCCACACACACACTCCATTTTTGGTTGGTGTTGTACTTCAGCTGCGTATGAAGGAGGCTACGTTGAGGTGGTGAAGTGGTGGAGGCCATTGCAGTTGTGACCTACTCGTTAATATCAGGGAAGCGGAGTTGAAGATGGCGTCACTTTTGATCTCCTTCACGTGAATTCTTACGGTGGCCGTGATATCCGGCCAAACTCCATCGGACACCTTTACTTCCAGGTTATATGTTCCTTGGCCAGCATTCTCCAGCATGGTCAGTGTCCCGGTGTTTTGGTCCAGGAGGAAGTGCCTAAGGAGACAGAGGACATCAGAGGAACGCAGAAAGAAGTTCGAAGAACCAACAAACTTTTGGAGTTTTTTTTTGAGAGTGAGGAAGGGTTTGTTCTTCTGGGGAGAATACGATGACTGTATGAACACAGCTGCAGGTGTGCAGGTGTGGGTGAGGGGCCCCAAATACGCCCCTGCCAGTGTTCGGGGGCCACGCACTTGCATCCACAAGCCTGTCAAATTAGGACCTGCGGCTGTGTAACTACAGCTGCTGTATCCCATGGTGTAGGCTGCCTGCACACAGCTTCAGCCACAGCTTCACACTGTACAGGCCACAGTCCCTAGGTCAATGAGTCCTGATTTCACTTCGGGAAGGGTCAGGGAGGGACGGTGCCAGACTATTTCACACCTTAGGCAAGACCAGCTACTTGCACTCCCCTCCCCCCCCCCCCAGAAAAAATAAAACTTCACTTATAGCTCTACTTCACCCCTCCTAGCACACATCCTTTTTCTCCGCAAATTTTCCACCCTGGCAAAAATCCCCCCCCCCCCAAATCCCCTCTCCTAGCAAAAATCCCCCCCCCCCCAATCCCCTCTCCTAGCATAAATCCCCCCAATTCCACCTCCTAGCACAACCCCCTCCAAATTATTCTTCCCAGCACAAATCCTTCTTCCCCACCCAAATCCCATCTCCTAGAACAAATCCCCCCCTCCTAGGACATCCGCTCCCAAATCAACCTCCTAGCACAATTCCCCCCCCCCCCCCCCCAAATCCCCCTCCTAACACGAATCCCCCCACCCCCCCTCTCCTAGCACAAATTTCTTCTCAATCCCCTCTCCTAGCACAAGTTACCCCCCGAATCCCCCCTCCTAGCACCCCCCCACCTAGCACAAATCCCCCCAATCCTCCCTTCTAGCACGACCCCCCCCAATCCCCTCTCCTAGCATAAATCCCCCCTCCAAGCACATCCACTCCCAATCCTGACTCCTAGCACAATTCCTCCCCCACAATCACCCTCCTAACTTAAATCCCCTCACCCCACCCCCTCTCCTAGCACAAATTTCCCCCCAATCCCCCATCCTTGCACAAATCATCCCTCCTAACACAAACCCCCCCCAGCACAAATTTCCCCCCAATCCCTCCTCCTAGCACAAATCCTCCTTCCTAACACATACACTCACAATCCTGCCTCCTAGCACATTTCCCCCCACCCCCAAAATCACCTTCCTAGCACAAATTCCTCCCAATTCTTCCTTCTAGCACAACCCCCCCCCCCCCCCCCACCAATCCCCTGTCCTAACATAAATCCCCCCATCCTCTCTCCTAACACAAATCCCTCCCAATCCCCTCTCCTAGCACAAATCCCCCCCGCCCCAATCCCCATTCCCAGCATCACTCATCTTCTTTTAATCCCCCCCACCTAGGACAAATTCCCCCAAATCCCTCCTTTAGCTAAACCCCCACCAAATTACCCTTCCCAACATGAAATCCTCCCACCTTACCCAAATCCCCCCCAAAGCCCACCCCAGCAGTCTCCTAGATCCGGCCAAGTCGTAGAGTAGGGAAACCAGCGGCCGTGGCTGTGCCCCTAGGCGGCTGCCTAGTTTGCCTGGCCCTGCTGTCAGGTAGGCTATACGGGGCCCTGTGATTTCTAACAGCTGCCCTGATGGCCCCTATCGATGGCCTGTTTTCTCCCATGTGAAGTGGCGGCCATCTATCTTGGCACGTGGCACGGTTGAGTCCCTTGCCTGAAACTCTGAGCCCCTAACGGTCTATCTCTGTCCTGTCTCAGACAGTCGGAGTTTTGCTTCAGAGCGCTCCTGAATGGCGGCATTGTTGGGACCGCGTTCCGTCTAATCCCCTTTTCATTATCTCAGCTGCAAATATGAAACCTCCATAAAAGTCAAAACCTAATTAATCTTTAGTGACTCCTTCCCAGCCGCTTGGTGAATTATATAGCATTGTTTCAAAGGCTGACATGTCCCCAAAAGCCAATCAGGGTGACGACGACGAGTAATGAAATAGTCTCATCGCCTGACTTGTCATCGAACGTTGAGTTACAGCGCCGGGCTTACGGAGGCATTTCCGAGACTGTCGCGAAGGTTTTATTGTCCCAATCATCTTCATCTGGAGCGAAGACCTTGCCAACCTCGACCGGGGAACGGGCCGCTGTACGGAGGAGACAAGAAATACACAACGTGGTTATTTTCAATCATCTCTGCCGGCAGACAGCCTGGAATAATTACCGCCATAAATACCAACCCCGGGGCTTCGGAGAGCCTCTTAAATCAAAGGCTGTGCGGCTGGCGGCCCAGGAGCCGGGGTGTGGCCCTCTGAAGCGACTCTGTGGCCGAGAGCGTCCCTGAGCATTTCAACGTTCCGCCGTCAACACATTCCCTCACTTTGTGCCCTACTGACTCCCCCCATACTGTGCCCTCCTGATCCCTGTACTGTGCCCTCCTGATCCCTGTACTGTACCCTCCTGACTTCCCCTGTATTGTGCCCTCCTGATCCCTGTACTGTACCCTCCTGACTTCCCCTGTATTGTGCCCTCCTGATCTCAGTATTGTGCCCTCCTGATTCCCCTGGTACTGTGCCCTCCTGATCCCTGTAATGTGCCCTCCTGACTCCCCCTGTACTGTGCCCTCCTGATCCCTGTACTGTGCCCTCCTGACTCCCCTGGTACTGTGCCCTCCTGATCCCTGTAATGTGCCCTCCTGACTCCCCTTGTACTGTGCCCTCTTGATCCCTGTAGTGTACCCTCCTGACTCCCCCTGTACTGTGCCCTCCTGATCCCAGTACTGTGCCCTCCTGACTCCCCTGGTACTGTGCCCTCCTGATGTCAGTATTGTGCCCTCCTGATCCCTGTACTGTGCCCTCTGATCCCTGTACTGTGCCCTCCTGATCCCTGTACTGTACCCTTCTGACTCTCCCTGTACTGTGCTCTCCTGATCTCAGTATTGTGCCCTCCTGTCTCCCCTGGTACTGTGCCCTCCTGATCCCTGTAATGTACCCTCCTGACTCTCCCTGTACTGTGCCCTCCTGATCCCTGTACTGTACCCTCCTGACTCCCCCTGTACTGTGCCCTCCTGATCCCTGTACTGTACCCTCCTGATCCCTGTACTGTGCCTCCTGATCCCTGTACTGTACCCTCCTGACTCCCCCTGTACTGTGCCCTCCTGATCCCTGTACTGTACCCTCCTGACTCCCCCTGTACTGTGCCCTCCTGACTCCCCCTGTACTGTGCCCTCCTGATCCCTGTACTGTGCCCTCCTGACTCCCCCTATAATGTGCCCTGCTGATCCCTGTACTGCGCCCTTCTGATCTCAGTATTGTGCCCTCCTGACTCCCCCCATACTGTACTCTCCTGCCTCCCTCCCCCTGTGCTGTGCCCTCTGTGTTGATTAGTCTTTGATCTATGGCATGTTTTCCTATTGTTTAAAATCAATGTTATTGAAAGTACTAATAAATATTTAATTTAATCAAGAAAAAATAATTCTATCAACTCTTTATACTTTAATTCTTGAGAGTAGGTGTGTAAATTGGGGCAGGCCAGTAGGGGCCCCAGTGCATTACTTTGCCCAAGGGCCCATGATGCTATTAAGCTGGCTCTGCTTAACAACCAAGGACTCATCAGCTGTCAGCAGGTTCCCCATTGACAGCTGAATGTACCAAAGTATTGATGGCAACAAAATCTGAGAAAAAAACAGCATGGGGGTCCCCCCCAATCCATACTAGGCCCTTAGGTCTGGTATTGATTTTGAGGGGAACCCATGCAAAAAAAAACCAAAAAAAACAAAATGGTGTGGGGGTACAACCCCAAATTCATACCAGACCCTTAGGTCTGTTATGGATTTTGAGAGGAACCCAGCACCAAATTTTTTTTTAAATGACGTGGGGGTCTCCCACAAAATCCATAACAGCCCCTTATCCGAACAGGCAAGGAAAGGGTGAGGTGGACAATCGAGCACCCCCTGCTGAACCATCCCAGGCCACATGCCCTTAACATGAGGGGTGCTTGGGGAATGGGGGGCTCCCATATCATTTCTGGCAGGATCACCATGTTATAATAAAAGAAAGAAAAAACAAAAAGAACCCCAAATACAAAAAAACGAATGCAGCCACCACATTTCAGGATTGGTATGCTACAATATAATGCATTTTTGTTCTTTGAATTTAGGTACACCTTAACCTTTTTTTTTTTATATTAAATAACGCCACGTCTTTGATGTTACTGTGACAGGCTCAGTGATTTGGCCAATCCAAATTATTCTAATGCCGTCTAAGCAGGCAAAACTGGAACACCATCTGAGATAATTACAATGATAATTCCCTTCCAATGTGGCCAACCATGTGAACGCAGAAAACCGTGAATTGTGACAACGCTCGTCCCTCATTACATATTATTAATTCCTATGAATGTCTGCACTCACTTACGGCTAAATCTGCCACCAACTATCCACGGCCCTTGGAGGACACTGGAGATTTGTAGTGATCTGATACATATTAGCTCATTCATTTAACATCTCATTACCCTACTTACAGCTCCAGGCCGGCAAATATAGAATAAAACACAGATTAGGCTCAACTTTTTCACTTATGTGTGTTTTTTCTCACGGACGGTAGGCTGTGGGTCCTCGGGCCTACCCTGAAGTCCAGGGGGAGGATGTGTGGCCTTTTGGTTCCTTCCTCCACTGTCCCTAGGGGGTTTTCTCTTCGGGAGAGCCCCCTTACCAAGTACTTGGTGGCTGGCTTAGGCTGGCCACAAGGAACGGGGTCCGCCAGGCCTTTTGACTACGTAGACCACATGGGAACCTTGTCCCTGTCAGGAGCTTCTTGCCCCGAGGGATCAGGGTAGAGATCCAACCCCTTCGGGAGGTGTACAAAGCACACCCCTAAGTGCACTTTTTTTGTGTTTGTGTTTTTGCACTTGCACGTTTTTTTGTACACTTACGGGTTTTTCATTTTTTTT